CGCCCGCGGTCTGCAGGCTCACCAGGGAGTGCCCGTCGGACCAGCGGAAATCGTTCTCCACAGCTCTGTCGCTGAGACCGATCCACTGGTAGTCCTGCGCGTGGCCTGGAAGAGCCGGAGGGGGAGAGAAGAGTGTGTCATCGTTCCCCTACACCTTGTTGGAAGCGTTTCTTTGCCATCTCAGCTGTCGCTGGCCCTGGAGCCTTTGGGTCATTTGGCTCCTTCTCAGTCCCTAGCCCCTAATGTCCTTTTTCACCTCGCATCGTGCCTGTCCGTCTCTCTCCCCAGTCAACGTGGAGCCACCCCCACTGGCATGGGTCACTGTGCTTGTTGCAGCAAGTGAACATCTTGTGAACAAGCCACATCAGCAACGTGGTAAGAGCAGAGATCTGTCCTAGCCGAGAAAGGGCCCTTTTCTGTCTCATGGCTGGATGGTTCTTCCTCTCCCACGCAAGGGTGAGGCCTCATTAGGAAATATCTGAGCACTAGTGGGGGAAAATGTGCTTTTTACATAATTTTGGATAAATCTGCCCATAGACTCAGAGTCCAACGGAGGGACCCCTGCCCGGTCTCAGGCTGCCTTCAGCACTCACTGTTCACAAATTGTTGCTCCTCTGGGGTGATGATACTGCTCAGGTGGGCTTGATGTTGTCGGCATCTGGTCTCTGCATCCATCCAAGTCTCCCTCTCTTCAAAGTGCCTGTAGCAGTGGCCCTGGAACTTGGTCCAGCCTTCCTCGCAGTTTTCCAGGTCTGAAACACACAAAGGAGGGATGAAAAGGAGTTGGTGCATGGGTCTGGAAGCCTTCCAAACTCACCTCTTAGCAGCTCATGCTCTCATGGCATAGGACAACTCATGGTCACTTCCACTAAAAAGCAAAGCCTGACACTGTTGCCTGTGGGAAAATGATCAGAAGGCATCCAAGACACACGCAGAGAGGGGGGCCTGTGCTGAAGACCCCCTGTTTGCAGTAACATGACCACTGCTACTAGAAAACTTGAGTGATGCAAATTTATTCCTGAGCAATTAAATCCCCATGTCATGTTCCTGGTCTCTGTTTTTGAGGAACTGACCAAGCAAGAACCCCTCTCTTCCCCTTTGTGCTGGCCTGCGGAGTTTTCTTGCTTTGGAAAGAAACTCCAAAACCTGAATCCAGATGCCCAGAATCAACACATACATGTTGAAAAGGAATGAGGGGAGGAGAGCCCAGGTTCAGGTGGTCGCATCACTTGGTGTGGTTCTGGGACTCTGTAGGACAAGCAAGCCTACGAAGGCAGGAGAAAAGAGACGGAGGCAGGAACTTACCATGGTGGGGAGAGAAAATGAAATCTCAAGGAAAGAGCTTGGAAGCTGCTAGAGAAGTACAAAAATTTCTCAACTTTTCAGAATATCTTTTGCCATCTGAGAAACACTGAAGATTTGAACCCATTAATTAAAAAAAATAAAACCACAGATGGGGGAGAGCAGAGGCGAATGGAGAAACCACCAGAAAAGACCTTCAGCAGCTCCCATGCAATGCAACACCACACATCTGCTCCATGTGACCGAAGGAAACAGAAAATGAAATGTGTTTAATCTCAGCCTTTCAGATGCCTGACCTACCATCCTTTCTCAGGCACTTGCTGCTCTTGGAGTGGTGGGCTTTCATGAGTCCTCATACCTCTCTCCCTTTCCAGTAAGGTTTTCTGTACTCAGATTCTTTCTTCTGTTGTTAAACTTGGTAGGTCAAAGCACTTGTCACTTTCAATCACACTAATTCCTCCTAATCCACCCTTCTGGTGTTCTTCCAGCTGGACATTGCAGACGCTTCATAGATGTTGGAAGGGTTGGGAGTTAGTTGAGGCATTAAAAATGTTTTCTGCCTTCTTCAACAGATCAGACGGATTATCTGGAAATAGCTGAAGCTCTAAGGATTCTTGGTCTTTGCAGGCAGATCGCTTGCACAAGGTGAGCAGAGAACACGCTTTGTCTTTTGAGATTTAAGACTTTTTTTCCAGCAGCTTGAATGTCACCCCTTGTCATCACAGCCTGGGGATGGGACAGCACATGGCACAGAACCTCAGCAGGACATT